GCGCATGTTGGGGAATAGATTAGATGGTTAAAGATGATTTCCACGAAGCCACGAGTCAACTGCAGACGCAGCGTGTCCACTGGAATTCCGCATATAGATACGAAGGCATCAAGGATAGCTGCTCTTTCCTTACTTCCCCTCGCAAGAAAAATATGAAACATTAAGGGAGACCTCAAACGACAGCGTTCATGAGCTCTCCTGTACGAAATCAGCTCCAAATGTTGTAATGTTGAAACCAAGAAGCAGAGAAATCAAAGTGATCAAGATCATACAGCTTAAGGCTTAATACTAAGAAGACAGAATGTGAGAAAGAGGGAAATCATCTGAAATCGCTTTGATGGAGACTTATTAAGAAAGTATGTTCCTTCAAGAATTTAGCAAGTACGATTTAGCAAGTGGCGAATCAAGTGAAAGAAGTTGCGGATTTTTTTCTACAGAGTATATCCTGTACAATGTGCCAATAGCTGCTTTAAAGGATCCACCTTAGGTAATAACAATACAAGGAATCATTATTCAATAAATGCTTACTACATCAATATTCAGCTTTTGCGCTGTCGTTTCTGAAATGTGAACGTCTGATTATTTTTTGTTATTTTTTAAAATCTTTTTTGAAGGAAGAACTTCGCATATTTCTTCTCGAGGAACTGCAAATATGATAGGTAAATTTGAACGTTCTAAACTGCATTTACGAGTAGACACCACTTTCTGAGTCACCAGTTTCCTTTTATTAGAATTGTATTTCTGCTGAAAAATAGCTTCAAGACAGGCTATTGGAGATGATAAATGTAGCCTGGATAAAGAGAAGGCCTTCACAGAAGCTCCATGTGTTAACCGAAACCAGGACGATAAAATTGTAAATGTGCCGTACTGTAATCGTTCAACAGCGCTGCATGGCACTGGATGTTTGCATTGGGATGTGGGAACCTACCTTAGAGCTCTGGATAGAGAACGCTAGATCTTAGGTAACTGCAATGCAGGGTTAGAGCAAGGACGGAACTTGCTCTCATTGCCAAGAAAATGTAGCCAAGGCTTGCATCTGGAGACGGGCACAGCCAACACGAGCAGGAGAAACTGCATAAGCGGGAAGATGCGACAATTAAGAAAACTGTTGTAGTCAAGTTTCGGCAGAGTTAAGAAGAACGTGGATCTTATAGTTAGCAAAAATTTTCTCACCTTTCTTCCCTTCCCACAAACACTTCATTAAAAATAACGTCTAATAGCGCAGTACCTCTCATATTGAGTCCTCTATTTTAGCCAAACTTCGAATTTTTTCTCAGTAGAAAAGGACCAATAATCAGACCAGCACACTCCGTGCGTATTTCCAACTTCATATTCCTCGAAATTCCGTAAATCTCTTATCTTCCTCTAAGGATCGTTTTTACATCGGGAGTACAGCGGCTGTTTTTGTTTCGTAAATATATTTATTCTGAAAGCATGTGAAGTCCCTAGTCTCTACACTGTTTTCATCTGAAGAAATTGTTTTTTTTTTGCAAGAAAGAAATCTATTGTTCTTAAGATTTGTAGATTTTCACCACATTTCCGTTAGGTATATAAAAACAGAACGTGGCACCAAGTACAGCTCTGCAGGAAAGCAGCCTTGACAGAAGTTCAGCATACTATGCCGATTCCACTCCTCGAAGAACAAAGAACGGAGTCAAAACGTTGGAAAATAAAAAAATCTAGAATATAAAGACAATGAGTATATGAACCAGTTGATTAAACCCATTAAAGTTCTTCAAGATAGGGTGTAAGTGTTTGTTATGGCTTAGTTAATTACGTCTAGGATTAAAAAGGATAAAAGATGAGGAAATACATTTTTCGTAATAAAAAACAACAAAAGTCGGTTTGCCGCAACATTTAGCTTCCACTCATTTTGAAACGGATTTTTTTGAATACATTTTTACTTGTGACGAACAATGGATGTTTTCGA